CAAATGTAAGGGCATGCTGGAGCGATTCATGGGAACAACATCAGCAAGAGCAGCTGGCGGCTCACCACTAACAATGCTGTGGCTACTCTTAAGGACAATTAATTGCTGCTAGTTCTTATTTTCCTCCCTCCCTGCCTCTTTCTCTCTCCCTGAACTCTCTTCTTCTGAGGCTAGTTTCACCCTACTAGATGACCATAGTCCTCCCATATGAATTGAGAAAACATACCATGTGACATGAAAGGATGCAATCATGGTATCCTGGCTGTCAAAGCTTATACAGACACAAACCGGATCACACAAATTGGGTGGTGAGAAAGAATGTACGCAGAAACAAAACCCAGGCTGTGTCACAGTGAACGTGGACTGACGCTAGACAACATATCCAAGAAATCAAACCCTGTTTAGCTTGAACTCGGCTGTCCCTGATCGCTGATTGCTCAACAATCAGTGCACTGATTAGCTGTCCTGGAAGTGTGTCGAAAGACGGGCTCAAATGCTCGGGGGAAAAATGGGAAGTTAAGAGCATATTAAGAAATCTATGGTTTTTAATAGAAGTTAAAACACCACTAACAGTTTTCTGAAAAATATCATGTGTGCAGTTGTGAAATGTAACTCAGTTCATTTATGCAAGTGCTGTAAGTCCAGTTTTTATGTACTTGTACATTATATGAGTATTTCCATGTTATGCTATTTCAACTTCACTACATTTCACTGCACTTTTTACACTGATCAGCCAAAACATTATGCCCACTGACAAATGAAGTGAATAACGTTGATTATACAAGCCTCAGAGCCTCAAGAGTGACATGAGAGCCAACCAACAGCCACACTGTGCAGAGCATTAGGCAGGTGGTCATAATGTTATGGCTGATCAATGTAAATTACAGCTTTTAGAGGCTTTGAATATCAGAATGTTACATATAAACATCAACTTCATTTCAACTTAAACATAAAATACAGCACACTGTTTAAGGTTAAACTACCAGTACTTATTTAAAATCTGCTCCATGTCAATCATGATTAAATGGAGACAAAATGATAGTGTAACCCTCACGAGAGACATTTTGTTGTATTCTAACAAATGGATATACTTTACAATTAGAATGTGAGGAACATTTACTTATAACTATATATTTTTACATTATAGTCATGCCACTTGTGCTTAAGTAAAGGATCTGATCAGTCAGACACATTTTCACCACAACATACAAGATTAAAAAAAAATTTCTAGCAAAACCCTGAAGTTCTCTTTACAGTTGCTCATAATACCCTTCACTGTTAAGGAACCGAAAACGCAACTGTGTGGGGAGACTTCCAAAATAGATACTTCAGCTTGAAAATTAACTTTAAAAGACATCATAAATGCTTGTATGTAGCCAACAGGAATGTCACTGGTATTCATCAACAAACCGACAACTACATATTATGTACCAAGCAGCAGTAAAAATACTATTTATTCCTCCTTTAAGACTTTATTTAATGAGCCTGTGGTCTCCCTGGGGATATGATGAAGCACAGCTTGAGATTACTCCTCTACTAGTATGAGCATTTGTGCTTTGTAGCTGATAAGTCTTTTTGCTTCATATAAGGCCAGTAAATTAGTGTGTCAGAGGAAAGGCTGATTACACAATACACTGGCTTGTGTTGAGTCCTAATTTGCTTCAAAGGCACACAAGTAAAGACCTGCGTTTGACTGTGCTGACCTGCTTGTCTAATCTTAGAAATTCCCACTCAAGGTGTAGCCATTCTGATAACTTATATTCATGCTTTAGGCTAACATTTAAATACTTTACAAAGAGGGGGGAGTAAATAGGAAATGCTGCAATAGGACACAGAAAGGGCAGACCTCTGCCCCCTGTTGGCTGTGAGGGGAAACTGTTGCCATAACAGTCACTGCAACCAATTTATTGTTTCTTCCATGACATGCTTGATATCCAGTTCAGATGGATAAAAATTTAACATCCTGTCATCCCACTTAATCGTTATCAGTGACCTCAAACCTCATACCCATCCTCCCTTCTGAGGTGGGGTCAGACAGCACAGGAGGCAGAAGTCAAACTGCCCAGATGAGGCTGAGGAGTGACTGGCTGCAGCTCCGACGGAGACTGATAGGGCCTATGAGCCAAAGGAGGATAGCCTTGACCTAGAGGAGCACAGATTCTCAGAAATCAAGTCTCCAGAGACAGAACTCTGTCAACAGCCTGTGGAAAATCTTGCCTGTTGAGATGAGATTTAGTTTCTTCTCTTGTCACTATGGAAGTCAATAGATTGAGTAGTTAACCAAATTAAAATAAACTGCAACAATTTCAAGTAATGAATCATCATTCCAAACATCTGCTGCTTCTATCTTCTCAGAGGTTTGCTGCTTGTCCTCGTCAAATGTGATGATAAATTAAATATATCTGGAATAAATTTGGAGCTTTTCTGTTTTCTGGCTGGACCAAGACGACATTTGTACACAGCATCTTTTAGAAGACATTTTTCATTATATTTTATAGGCCAAATGATAAATCAAAAAATGATTATTTAAATACATTCTTAATTCACAGCCTAGGTTTTCTAACTGTAAATTTCAATGTTACTGCCTTTGAGTGAATCCTGCATATCCGGTTTTATGAGCATTCTTATGCAAAATCCAGCCTAAACCCTAATACTGAATTTCATTTAGTGACCTGGTCCCAACTTTTTTTTTTTTTAACAAGAAAAGGAAGCTTTTTGACACATCTTCAAACAGAGATATAGTTCACAACTTCTCAATGTGACCTAAATGTGTCAAAAGTGAGAAATATTTTGGATGTTTTTCCTTGTGCATGATGTAAAATTACTGAATACTAACTCTAACTTTACTTTACACTGTAACTCAGATGAATTTTGTCACTATAAGGCTAGTGGGATAGGTCACAGAAGTCAGTAAATGTATTTACCTAGCATGAGGCACTGTGCCCAAGTTATGCCAGTTATGAAGGTTTATTGTCTGCATCTTTAAAACAGGAAAACATCTCACATTATCCCCTGAGACAGCAGCCTGATTTTTTTTTTTCTTATTTTCATGTTGGCAGGAAACAGGTGCCTCCTTCTAAACCTGGAAGGATAGCCAAGTCGTACAATACCGAGCATGCGCGACACATCTGAGGGCATTAAAGTAAACAAATGCAGCATGTGCGGCTTCTTGAGGCCAAGGTCCAGCCAAAAATATGTTTCCATCAGTTTCAGTGGTTTGTTGTTGAATTTTGAGCCCTACCAACCTTATACAGTTCAAATCGGTACAACTATCTGATGTGAAACTTCAAGCTCCAGTATCACAGCACCCTATGCATTTACTGTACTTAAACAAACTCTGGCTCTGTTTCTGTTTAATGTGTTACATATTATGGGACCTTCAGGTCACTTCACACCAGCTAGAGGTTTTTGTGCTGCTAGAGAGAAAAAGAAACTGCTGCCATTTCCCTCCTACTTCCTTGCTGTAGTTATTCCTTAGAGGGAGACAATCGATCTGATCCACTTAATCAATCAGTGACAGGGCCTTTGAACTGCAGACCTGATTTCCAGAAAGTCTGTCATCTCACCCTGTCATCTGTGAAAACACTCCAGGGGGAGATGACTCTACACAGCCCTGGCTCGTAAAACTCTTTATGTTAAAACTGACAGCCTTGCTCCTGGCTGACTGGGGCCAAAATAACTCTGTTTGCATATCTTTTCTTAATGCATGGGAATGACAACAATGAGTTCTTCTAAAGTCAAATTATAAAAAAATGAGAGACACCAGAACTTTTCTATCTCAATAACATTCAACATTTGGGTGCAAAAGCGACTTTCTTTACCTCCTCCATGGCTGCTAGCAGTGAGACAAAGCTTTCTGCCTGCCCCCTGTGTGGTTCCTGTATAGGCAAAGAACTAGAAGGGGAAAGGGAATGTTTTGCCTTTCTCCCCACCCTTCTTCCCTCACCTCCCTGGGGCAGTGCTGTGTAGGAATAAATGTCCCCCATAAATCTCCCCCTCACACCACCATCCCCTCCTCTGACTCCAGCTTTTTTTTTGTTGTTGTTGTTAACAGCCCCCCCAATACAGCCTTTCTTTTCCCTCTTCTCTTTTCTACTGCAACTCAACCCTGACATTGTGCACATGGCTGATGGCTGCTCTGTCATGGATTTAGAGGGCGGGAGGGAGTGCAAAAGAAGATGGACCACAATAGATTTGTATAGGTTTCACTCTCTGCAGCCCAGCTCTTTCATATGTGGCTGCAAGCGTCTTTGTGATTAACGGTAAATCTGGTGAGATCACTCATGTATCAGGTTAATGTTTACCTGGTGGAATGAAATATTCACCTTAGGAGAGCACCTTTATACTGGCTGGTAAGGAAGAGGAGCAAAACTGGGTAGAAACTGTAAAAGAAAAGAAAAAGAGAGAAAGTAAA